GAGCCTGCGGCCACTGGACCTCCCCTTGTGGCGTCTGGCGGTGCGGGACCTGGCGGGTCTCCGGGTGCTTCGCCTCGGCGGGAGCCCCTCTCTCCACAGGAGCTGCGCGAGTGGTTTGCTCGCCGCTGGAGACGTACTGCTGGAGCTGGAGCTCCTTCGGCTGCTGAGGGTACTTGTGCCGCTGGTCCCGGAGCTGCTGGGCCCTCGGGTCCGCCTGGAGCTGGAGCTGCTGCGGGTGCTGGTGCTGAGACTGCTGCTGTCCTTCCTGGCGGTGGTCCTGCTGCGGGTGCTGCTGGTGCTGCTGGAGGTCCTGCCGCTGGAGGTGCTGTTGGCGCTGGTGCTGCTGCTGAGGGTGCTGTCCCTGCTGTGTCTGGAGTCGCCGCGCGGCCTCGGCCGTACTTCGTTCCACTCCTACAGCAGGTTCTTGGTCTTTCTCCTCCTGCAGCGTGTCCACCGCCTGTTCAGTCACAGTCCCAGTTAGAGCCTGCCTCCCCACTTCCTGCTCCCTCTCCTTACACTGGTACCACTGGAGGTCTTGCTGAGCGTCGTGAGCCTGCGTCTCGTCCTGCGTCGCCTGTTCGTGCTGCTCGCGCTAGTGGTCGCGGTTCGCGTCAGCGTCCTCCTCCTGTCCCTGGCACGCACCGGATGTCTTTGCGTCCGTCCACTGCTCCTCTGCGTGCCCCTTTGCCTTCTCCTCCTGAGTCCTCCCTTCCTGCACTTACCGACCCAGAGTCCGACTCTCTTCGTGCTGCTAGTCCTACTGTCACACGTCTCCTTGCTACTGTCGTCACTGACCCCTCTTTTGAGTCCACTGCTGCGTCTGCTCTTGTTGCTGAGCTCGTCGACTTTGCTGCTCGCTGTCGTCTAGACTACGCTGCCGGTCTTGTTGCTGAGTCTGCGTCTGTCTGTCCTCCGTCCGTCGGGGGTGAGTGTGCTCTTGGCACGGACGTCCTTGAGGACAGGCAGGAGGAGTTCCAGTGTCTGGCTGCTGCTTCACCTCATCTCGCGTCCGTACTACTTGCCCCTGAGGGAGACCCGGATGCACTAGACATCCCGACTCCGCGCTCTTACGCGGAGGCCGTAGAGGGTCCCTACTCCTCTCAGTGGCAGGCAGCTATGGATGCAGAGATGGCGTCCTGGAAGTCCACAGGCACCTACGTTGACGCGGTTCCCCCTCCTGGGGCGAACATCGTCAGTGGCATGTGGATCTTCAGGGTGAAGCGGCCGCCGGGCTCTCCACCTGTCTTCAAGGCGCGGTACGTCGCTCGTGGCTTCAGTCAGCGGCAGGGAGTTGACTACTTTCAGACCTTCTCTCCCACCCCGAAGATGACCACTCTTCGGGTGCTGCTGCACATAGCCGCTCAGCGCGACTACGAGCTCCACTCTCTTGACTTCAGCACTGCTTTCTTGCAATGTAGCCTGCACGAGGAGATCTGGCTGCGCCGTCCACCTGGCTTCACTGGGACTTTCCCTACTGGCACCCAGTGGAGCCTCCGACGGCCAGTCTACGGTCTCCGCCAGGCACCGCGTGAGTGGCACGACACACTGAGGACTACGCTTGCGGCTCTTGGGTTTGCTCCCTCTACTGCTGACCCGTCGTTGTTTCTGCGCACCGACACTTCTTTGCCGCCGTTCTACATCCTCGTGTACGTCGACGACTTGGTCTTTGCCACAGCTGACACTGCTGGACTAGCCTACGTGAAGTCCGAGCTGCAGAAGAGACACACGTGCACAGACCTGGGTGAACTGCGCAGCTACCTTGGCTTGCAGATCACTCGGGACAGAGCACGCCGCACCATTACCTTGACTCAGTCACACATGGTGCAGCAGGTCCTTCAGCGCTTCGGCTTCACGTACTCCTCGCCTCAGGCCACTCCTCTGTCTACTCGCCACTCGCTCTCAGCTCTGCCTTCGGATGAGTCCGTAGAGTCGAGTGGCCCGTACCCAGAGCTTGTTGGCTGCCTCATGTACCTGATGACCTGCACACGACCTGACCTTGCATACCCTCTTAGCATTCTTGCACGCTATGTTGCTCCTGGGAGACACCGACCAGAGCACATGGCTGCAGCGAAGAGGGTGTTGCGCTACTTGTGCAGTACGTCGGGCATGGGGCTAGTGCTTGGAGGGCGGAGTCCAGTGGTCCTCACTGGGCACGCGGACGCTTCTTGGGCTGACGACCAGGCTACGCAGCGGTCGTCGCAGGGTTACACCTTCAGTCTTGGTTCCGGCTCTGTCTCGTGGCGGGCTACTCGCTCGTCCTCTGTTCTCGGCTCCAGTTGTGAGGCTGAGATCTACGCCGGGGCCATGGCTGCACAGGAGCTTCGCTGGCTCACCTACCTGCTGACTGACCTTGGAGAGCCGCCTCGTTCTCCTCCAGTGCTGTACGTAGATAACAAGGCCATGCTGGCCTTGTGTCGAGAGCAGCGCTTGGAGCACAGAACGAAGCACATTGCTCTCCGTTACTTTCTTGCTCGTGAGCTGCAGCAGCGTGGTCAGTTGCGACTTGCGTACGTGGCCTCTGAGGCCAACACTGCTGATGTGTTCACCAAGGCACTTGCGCCTTGTGACCATCAGCGCTTCTGCACTCAGCTGGGTCTTGTACCTGTCTTGCCTCACTTGCTCTCCTCTTGACCTTGCTTGTACTGTCACATATATATATCTGCTCTTGCTTGTCTAGCTCTATATATATATGTGCACTCCTGTATGTGAACTGGCCTTGTGGCCTTGTCGTTGTGCTCGGACTGTGTGGTGACTTTGTGATCCACCCTGAGCTTGCTGTGCTTTGAGTGACTGGTCTTGTGACCCCTTGTTCTCCCCCACTTTGCCTATGGGGGTGTGTCAGAACATACATATAGCTTATGCTGTTGTGTAGGCTATAGTGGGGTATCCCATAGGGGGTACAACCCAATTAGGGTTTCCTATATGTACTCACTTCATTCATAGTTCATTCATCCTTGTTCAAATATTCTCATGGCGAGGGCCACCAAACTATGTGCCCTGCCCAGGCTTGTGGCGTCTTCTAAGGGCGTGTAACCTTTTCACATTTCATCGTCCGGACGGAGACCCCGTCCGGACATTTGTAGGGTAACTTATTTCGCAGCACCTCGGTAAGGGATTCGCGAGACGCCCTGCGACGTCGCCACCGTCCGGACCATGTCTGACACTTTTCTGTCAAAAATTGGTCCGGACTACCCTGCTAACACCGTCCGAACGGCATATCGGACCGTCCGATTTTTCTGCGCTGTCATTGGCGCACGATGTGTTGAGAAACTTACCCAATACCACGCCGCCGATTTTTGGAGGCGAACCCTCACGACGCTTTACGATTACAGTAATGCCTGTATCATTTCGTAACGAAATTCAAAATTTTCGGGTTTCCAAAAAGTTCCACATCTGTGGTCCGGACGGGCTGTCGTCCGGACATGAGTCCCAAACGTCCGGACGGAGCTCTGTTCGGACGTTTTGGGGGCTCCGTCCGGACATTTGACGAAAACGGAAAAAGTTACACGCCCTAAACCATTCTCGCATCACAGACTGCACTGCCCGTAGGTTTCGTGATTTGGCGAACCACTCCAACACAAACTGTATCTGATCTGAAAGTCTCATGCCCCAAGCTTTGAACTAAACGGACGATCTGCTAGACGCAGGAGTGATTCCCTGGTACCATGTGTGCTACGAACAGATGTTGTTTTGCGGTCCACCAGGCGTGTGGAATAACCGATGTTGGTGGAAGGTTGCGGGGTTTTTTACGGCGAAATGACGCGCACCGGCGGAAATCGCGTTTCTCTCAATTGGATCGACCCAAATTACTCCGACCTCGCCACGTAGGCGTTTCCCTAAATTGGATGGACCCCATTTGCGCGCGCCCCCACAACCCGATTTTCCCGTCCTTCCCCTCCGGAATTCGGGCAGCTGTGTTGACTTTGCGTGGAATCACAAACAGTCGCAATTACACTGTTCTACGGTACCTTAAAAATATCACACGTGAGGAAATTATGATTGGAAAAACAAGTGGTAATTGCTCTTGCGCGCTAGAGTAACATGCATGCGGATCGTTTGGTTTGTTCAAGGTTGGGTTAGGTGTTTCGTGGTTTGGGCAGGTGTGTCGATAACGTTAAAAAAAAAACGATACTATCACTGTGCATACAAGTCCGTAGAGACCGAGTGCTCTAGGCACTGTTGCCGAAATGTTACCGCGAAAGCTGAGGTGGCAAGCCTCGCAATCCCGAAAATGTTGGCACTACGTGGCAAGGTAAAAATTGCGACTGTTTGTGATTCCACGTAAAGTCAACAAAACTGACCGAGCTTCGGAGGGGAAGGGCGGGGAAATCAAGGAAACAGGCGCGCGCAAATGCGGTCCATCCAATTTAGAGAAACGCCCACGTCGCGAGGTCAGAGTAATTTGGGTCGATCCAATTGAGAGAAACGCGATTCCCGCCGATGCGCGTCATTTCGCCGTTTTTTACCCTTTTGACTTCCGCCGCAGCTGGAAAACCAAGGTCAGATGGGCGCGACTCGGCAGACATTATCCACACGAAACTAGAGCCTAGTGAATGCGGTTCGGGATGAGATTCGAACAAAACCTTCGGGTACGAGTCTGGTCTGGTCTGATCCGCACCAAACCAGACCCACCCGATGTGGTTCGGCGAGACCACTTTCTTCTCGCCCACATGACCCTTATCCATAACAACTGCTCTGGATGCAATTTCTCAGATCATCGTCGGGTCGGGTCGCATCGCATAGCGCCGCCCCCATCTGCCGAGGGAGGTTTGAGATTTGTCCGATCACCACCATCCTCCGATTGGTCATCTGCCGAGTCGCCTCACAACCGGACCTAAGCTTTCATGCCGACGCGCTCCAACAGAGTTGTCCGCTTCTTCTCGAGTAGTACGAGTATGCCTCCATCCACCTTTCTCGCCGAGTACCAACGTTTTCTCCCATTGCACACGTGACGGTCAGAAAAAGCACGACGTCTCCAGCGAGGCTAGTAGTAAGTTACCATGGCTATCTCGTGCTGTGGCGCCTCCCCTCCGCGGTGTCTGCTCGTGTCGCTCCTGCTCCTCTCCCTCAGCGTCTTGCGGATCCACGCGCGCCACGGCCCCGAGGTAGCCGTTGCGGACGCTATGCTGCAGTCCCGCAGCATTCGCGGCGGGGATGCCGCAAATTCTCACCGGCGCTTCGACTCCGAGTCGAAATCACCCGAGGTACTGCCGCAGTACACGAAGGTCGCGGAGTCGATTGCGGAGTGGAAGCGGCGATCAGCGGAAGCGGGCGCGCACTTCTTCCCCCTGCAGCGCGCGGAAGACGCCCCCAGCAGGGAGGAGATACACCGCCGGATTCTCGCGCCTTCCGTGAGTGCGGGGGTGCAGTGGAGTGGAGGGTGCCAGGAGCAGGGCATTGCTGCTGCTTGGCAGTGTCACACGAGATTGTATGGATTTTGGCTTGCGTTTTTCACTAGGTTTGTGACGACGCCGACACGGTTGGCGTCGAGCTGCTGCCCCTGGATGCATCATAGTGTGTGCTTTGCCATTGAGATGCGACCACGAGTCTCCTCATGCCTATCTGCTTCCTTCCCTCACAATCCGTGACGTGCGCAGGGCTTGGGCGGCCGTTTGAGCGGCCCCAAAGGAGAGTCAGGCAATTCAGCGAATGTGAGTGAGTGCTCACGACAATACGCTACCGCTGCTGCAATTTGAGCAGGCTAGTAGTAGTGTGGTCTCAGGCAGTCGTTTGTGGAATGGTAGCAAGTGACAGGTGGCAGGTGACATTTGACCATGCTGCCGCATTGCATTCGCCCGTTCTCAGGAGCCGAGCTGTTACACGAAACCACAAGAGCTCTGTGCGGCCATCAATCTACGCCTTCCCCACAAACCTCCCACGTGCCTCTACCTCTTCAACTCCATCAAGTCCCTCTGTCCCGGTCGTTTCTGCGTCCAGCTGCTGTGCATCGTGTTTTCCACCTCGTTGCTTGCAGACAAGGGGAGTATCCTTCCATTGTTTAGAGGCGCCACGGAATTCGACTCGCCTCACATGGGCTGTTTCACCTGGTTGCTTTGCTTGCAGGTGAATGGGTTTTCTCTGCCAATGAGGGACTACGACAGCACGCTGCTATCCAAGGCTAACGGCACAATGGGCAACACCGTCAACTACAGCACGGCCATGAACGACAACATGATTAGCCTCCCGTATACCCCGCCATGCCCGTCTCATCGCATCTTAATCGCTGCACGCCACTCGCTGCATCCCTTCGATCTCCCTCCTCTGTGACCTTTCACCCCTTTCTGCACTTCCTCCCCCCACCCGGCCCCCTCCCGCCCTCCCCCCTCCCCCTCACTGTCGCATGCCTGTCCCCACCAGCGTGTATCCGTACTACGTGAATCTCAAGCTGGGGTCGCAGAAGCTGGAGTTCAGCATGGCTCTCGACCTCATGTTGCAATTTACCTTCGTGCCCTGCGACTGTCTGCACTGCGGCACCATGCGCAAGGGGGTGCGTGGGGTTCCAACCTCCGCTCACTTGAGGGCGGATGAGAGTGAGGAGAATGAATGAGTGAGAGTGTTCGTGAGAATGAGCGCGCGTGAGAGCGAGTGTGAGAAGTGGAGTGTGTGAGTGTGTGGAGGGTTCCAATCTAGGCACAGCCATGACTCCCATACTACTCCGTACCCCCTTCTGCTTACCCCTTCTGCTTACCCCGTCTGCTTACCCCTTCTGCATGCACTCTCTTTAAAACCTTCCGAAGCCCGCCTGAACCCTGTAACTCTCTCTCCCATCACCTTGCTGTGACAACACACGGATGAATCCAGTCACCTTGGATTTTCTTTTCCGTTACAACACCACAATACTAATCCTTCCTCTAGCCTCACTTTGCCTCCCCTCTCATCCCCACCCATCACCTCGTCCCCTTCCCCACCCCGCCACAACTCCTTCTGACTCCCCTCTCCTCTCCCTCCAGACTGACTGCAGCAAGCCGTTCCCCGCTAGCCTTATCTCACGTTTCCCTCCTTCCCTTCCCCTGGCAACCTTTCTCTCTCCCTCTCCCTCTCCCTCTCCCTCTCCCTCTCTCTCCCTCTCCCTCTCCCTCTCCCTCTCCCTCTCCCTCTCTCTCCCTCTCCCTCTCCCTCTCCCTCTCTCTCTCTCTCCCTCTCCCTCTCTCTCTCTCTCCCTCTCCCTCTCCCTCTCTCTCCCTCTCCCTCTCCCTCTCTCTCCCTCTCCCTCTCCCTCTCTCTCCCTCTGCCTCTCCCTCTCCCTCTCTCTCCCTCTCCCTCTCCCTCTCTCACCCTCTCCCTCTCCCTCTCTCTCCCTCTCCCTCTCCCTCTCTCTCCCTCTCCCTCTCCCTCTTCCTCGCCCCGCAGACCACCTACAGCAAGCCCTTCAGCTCGCTCTCTTCCACAACCCTCAAGTACATCTCCTGTGTCGACCAGCGCTGCCAGGGGGGCGGCTTTTTTTACGGATGCAACACGGAGGGGCTCCCCAACTACCTCAACACCACGGGCGTGCTGCCTGGGGACGACGCTCTCTGCGTGTACAGTGCATACAATTATGTATACGACTACTACGAAGATGACTCTGGTACTAAATCGTACTATCAGTCGGTGGGGCATGTGGTGGAGGACACGGTCTACCTCCCTGCACCTGATGGTACCGAAGTCAACCGCTCCATCATATTCGGGTGAGTCTCTCCTTGCTATTGCCCATTCGCTCTCCCATGCTACACGATATTTCGAATGCTCACCTCCCCCTTCGTGCTGTCCCACACTCTCCGCCTCTCTCCCTCCCCCCATGGCCTCCCCAGCTGTGGAGTGAACCAGCATGGCATGTGGGGCATGCAGGGGTGGGAATCCGGGTCGTGGTCAGCAGGAGGCGTGCTGGGGCTGGGGTATTACAGCCCCTTCCTCTGGCAGCTTACCGGGCCTGATGTCCCAACCACCTTTGCGGTGTGTCTTGAGGAGCCGACGCCGACGAACAAGACGGGGTGGGATGGCAAGGTGCCGCTGCAGACAGGCAGCAGCCATCTCACCATCGGAGCCACCGGCCTCCCTGCCGGCGCCAGCTATGCCACCATGTAAATATGATCACTATGCACCTGCTCTATGTTCTCCCTTGCTCTCTTTCTCTCCCTGCCAGCTACGCCACCATGTAATGATCCTGCTCTGAACACCCTCCCTCGCTCTCTTTCTCTCCCTGCCGGCGCCAGCTACGCTACCATGTACCCCCCCCTCCCCCCTGCTGCTTCACGCCCTCCCGTGCTCCCTCTCTCTCGCTTCCCACCTGCTGCCTCACTCTCTTTCTCTCCCTGCCGGGGCCACCTAACTCCACCGTGTAATCACCCTGCACCTGCTCTGCACCTGCACTGCGCACTCTTGATCTCCCACGCTCTCTCATGCTCTATCCAACCATCCATCTGTCCGTCCGTCCGTCCGTCCTTCCATCCACCCACCTCATGCTTGTTACCCCTGTGCAATCCCTCCCCACAGGGCCTTTGAGAGGTGGTTCGGTATGCAGTACAGCCACATCACACTCACCAATGCCACGCGCTCCCTCAACATCACAGTCAACCCAGCCAAGAAGACGCCTGAAAACGCCACTATGGGCTTCCTCTTCATGCCCGAGTCCTTCGTGCATCTCCTGCACTACCCCGTCTACATGAACCTTCTTGAAGGGGTATGTTCTCCTCAGCCCATGCTTGCCTGCATGTCTCTGGAAGCTTGGCCAAGCCGAACCAGTGAGTGAAGATGGCATGATTCTCGCTGCTTTTATGCGTTGTGTTGTTGTGGTGAGCTGTCTCATCTCATGCTGCTAGGACTGGTATGCTCACGCTTCGTTCGACTCCAAAGAGCATTCACATGAAAGAAGCACTTGTGGAATTGGCTCGAAAAAAGCGTAGCCACGTGGGGGAAGGAGAAAGCCAAAGCACAAGTCATCAAGAAATGGACTTGTTCCGTGCTGCTCGTGTCAGAACATTATAGCTTATGCTGTTGTGTAGGCTATAGTGGGGTATCCCATAGGGGGTACAACCAATTAGGGTTTCATATTTGTACTCACTTCATTTCATAGTTCATTCATTCTTGTTCTAATCTTCTCATGGTATCGAGCAGGTTCCCCCTTGGGAACTGTGCTTAGGGCCCACCACATCGATTTTTTTTCCTGCCCGAAGCGCGCTCAGCCCGAGTCGCGCTCCGGGCCCTCACTTCGTCGAGCCGCCCTAGCGGCCCTTCACTGCGGCCCCGCCGCCTGTCTCAGCGGCCTCGCCGCCCTTTTCTGAGGCCCCGCCGCCTCTCTCGTTGCGGACCCGCCGCCCTTCACTGCGGCCCCGCCACCCGTCTCAGCGGCCCCGCCGCCCGTCTTCGCGGCCCCGCCGCCTCTCTCCCAGCGGCCCCGCCGCCCCTTTTGCAGCGGCCCCGCCGCTCCTCTGCAGCGGCCCCGCCGCCCTACCCAGCGGCCCCGCCGCCCTACCCAGCGGCCCCGCCGCTTCTCTGCAGCGGCCCCGCCGCCCGTCTTCGCGGCCCCGCCGCCTCTCTCCCAGCGGTCCCGCCGCCCCTTTTGCAGCGGCCCCGCCGCTCCTCTGCAGCGGCCCCGCCGCCCTACCCAGCGGCCCCGCCGTCCTTCTGCAGCGGCCCCGCCACTTCTCTGCAGCGGCCCCGCCGCCCTATCTAGCGGCCCCGCCGCCCTTTCTGCAGCGGCCCCGCCACTCCTCTACAGCGGCCCCGCCGCCCTACGCCAGCGGCCCAGCCGAGCCGCCCAGCAGCAGCGCAGCCGAGCCGCCCAGCAGCAGAGCAGCCGAGCCGCCCCGCCGCCGAGCCGTGCTGCAGCCGAGCCGCCCGGCCGCCCACCAGCCGAGCCGCCGTGCAGCCGACCGCCCAGCCGCCGAGCCGCCCAGCTGCCGAGCCGCCCAGCCGCCGAGCCGCCCAGCTGCCGAGCCGCCCAGCTGCCGAGCCGCCCGAGCAGCCCTGTCCGGTGAGCACAGACCCTCTGTCACTGCGTGCTCTTCCCCTACTCCTTGCACTGCTGGTCTACTGCTGTCATGGCTACCCCCAGTGTCCTCACTTTTGACGCTGAGGGTCGGGCCATTGACTTTGAGGTCTGGGTAGATGACCTACAGCTGTTCTTACAGTGCGATAGGGCGGACGGCCTCTCTCTCTTTGACCTCACCTCTGGCGCTTCCCCTGCCCCTGCTGCTGATGCTGACGCCACTGTTCGCTCCCAGTGGGCCACGCGCGATGCTGCTGCACGTCTTGCTGTGCGTCGCCACCTCCCTACCTCCGAGCGTGCGCACTTTAGTCAGTACAAGAGTGCTCAGACCTTGTACGCCGCTGTAGTCGCGCGCTACTCCTCCCCTTCCACTGCTGCACTGAGCCGTCTCATGCTGCCGTACCTCTTCCCTGACCTTGCTTCTTTTCCCACCGTTGCTGACCTCATTACGCACCTCCGCACTAGTAACACTCGCTACCGCGCTGCACTTCCTGCTGACTTCTGCACCGCGAACCCCCCCCCGATGTACATCACTCTGTACTTCCTAGTCACTCGCCTCCCTGACTCCCTTCGAGTAGTCAGGGACCACTTTCTCTCAGTCTGTCCCACCACACTCACTGTAGACCTCCTCGAGAAGGCCCTCCTCGCGATAGAAAAGAGCATAGTCGCTGTAGGAGCCTCTCGAGGTGACCCGCGCACCCCCATCTTTGAGGGGTGTTCTCCCTCCCCCCTGCTGCCCTCTGTTGCCTCTGCTGCTTCGGCCGACCTCCTTGGTCTTGAGTCGGTCGGTGCGGCGTCTTCCCCTAGCGGGAGACGCCGCTCTGGCAAGGGCAAGGGGGGCAAGGGAGCTGGAGGAGCGGGCGGTGGAGGTGGAGGCAGTGGGGGGAGTGGGGGTAGCGGTGGAGGTGGAGGTGGGGGTGGGGGGTTCGGTGGCGGCAGTGGAGGCGAAGGCCGCGGCGGCGGTGGCGGTGGTAGCGGAGGTGGCGGAGGAGGCGGCGGTGGAGGAGGCGGTGGAGGCGGCGGCGGCAGTGGAGGCAGCGGAGGCGGTGGAGGCGGTGGGGGTGGCGGTGGAGCTGGTCGCGGGTCTTTGCAGAGGAGTGGCTCAGGTGGTGGCTCGCGCCAGCAGCAGCAGCGTGGTCGTGCGACCCTGTCCCCTCAGCAGCTCCGTGAGTGGTACACTGCACGCCAGCGGGGTGGGGGTTTTGGTCCGTGTACCTACGTCCTGCGCACCGGCGACCGTGCGGGTGAGCAGTGTGGGGGTGCGCACCCCACTCCGCGCTGCTTTGGCCGCCTGACGGACGCATGGCGTCACCAGTTCCCGGAGGCCTCCGAGATCCCTCGCTGGGACGAGCTGTCTAGGGCGGGGGTTGCCATCTTTGATCTGGACTTTGATGCTATTCTCTCTGCCATGTATGCTGTGTCTATTAGTGATGAGGGTGACTGTTACCGGTGTTTCCGGCCCGATCCGGGCATTGAGACTGCTGCTCTAGGTACTGGTGAGGCTGCTGCCCTAGGTGCTTACGACGCTGCTGCTCTAGGTGCTGGTGTGTCTGCGTCCTCAGGTACTGGTGAGTCTGCTCTCTCAGGTACCGCGTCGGCTTCGGCCTCCCTCACCTTCACTCTTGACTCTGGGGCGTCTCGCTCCTTCTTTCGGGACCGCACCACACTCACGCCGCTTAGTCGGCCGGTTGCGGTGTCTCTGGCTGACCCCTCTGGGGGTCCGGTCCTGTCTCGTTTCTCCACAGTCCTCCCGTGTCCGGCGGCTCCCTCTGGCACCCTGTCTGGTCTCTACCTCCCCTCGTTCTCGACGAACCTGGTGAGTGGTGCTGACCTACAGGATGCGGGTGTCCACCAGTTCACTCCTGCACGTCGGCGAGTGACCCACTGTACAGAGGCTGGCACAGGCCGACACCTGGCTACGTTCACCCGTCAGCCGGGGTCGAGCCTGTACACTCTGACCACTGCGTCTCCTCCAGTTGCTGAGTCTGGTAGGGTAGCTACGTCGGGTCAGGTGTTTACTGCGGCGTCCAGGTCTGGTCCTGAGTCTGCCCCCTGTTCGTGTCGTCTCCTGTCTCACGAGACTCTCCTCTGGCACCACCGCCTTGGCCACCCCTCTCTGCTTCGGCTCAGAGGTATGGCCTCCCGTCTTCTTGTGTCCGGTCTCCCCCGGTCCCTCCCTCCCCTTCCTCAGGGCCCTGGCCCTGCCTGTGTCCCCTGTGTCGAGGGGCGCCAGCGTGCTGCCCCTCACTCCTCCCAGTTTCCTCCGACAGAGGCCCCGTTGCAGACACTTCACATGGACGTGTGGGGCCCAGCCCGCGTCCGTGGACAGGGTCACGAGCGCTACTTCCTGCTCGTTGTTGACGACTACTCGCGTTACACCACAGTCTTCCCCTTGCGCAGCAAGGGTGATGTCACTGAGGTGCTGATCGACTGGATCCGCGCAGCTCGTCTCCAGCTCAGGCAGAGCTTCGGCTCGGACTTTCCTGTTCTGCGTCTGCACTCGGACAGAGGCGGAGAGTTCTCCTCTGGCCTTCTGCGTGCCTACTGTCGTGCACGGGGCATCCGTCAGACCTTCACGCTTCCGGACTCACCGCAGCAAAATGGGATTGCTGAGCGCCGCATTGGCATGGTCATGGACGTCGCTCGTACGTCTATGATGCATGCGGCTGCCCCCCATTTTCTGTGGCCGTTTGCGGTGAGGTACGCGGCGCATCAGATCAACCTCCACCCCAGGGTCTCCAGGCCGGAGACCTCCCCAGCCTTGCTGTGGACGGGGAAGGTTGGCGATGCGTCGGCGTTCCGGGTCTGGGGATCTCGGGCGTTTGTCCGCGACCTGTCTGCGGACAAACTATCCCCTCGTGCTGCTCCTTGCGTCTTCCTGGGGTTCCCCCCTGACGCGCCTGGGTGGCAGTTTTACCACCCCACCTCTCGCCGTGTTCTGTCCTCCCAGGACGTCACGTTTGACGAGTCGGTCCCCTACTACCGCCTCTTCCCCTACCACACTCCGTCCCTCCCCCCACCCCCACTCTTCCTGGTACCAGGTCCCCCCCAGGTAGACCCCCTCCCCCCTCAGGGTCCTGCCCCTTCAGGTGTGTCC